GTTGTTGACGACCTGTCCCTACACCCAAATTGGTTAGTGGGAATCAACTGATATCTACCTACGTCAAATAGGATCCTCCGGGTGATGACTTTCTCCAGTAGTTTTGAGAGGCATTCCAGTAAGGAGATAGGCCGGTATGAGCGTGGGTTGGACATGTCTGTCTTCCCAGGTTTTGGAACAATTGCAACCGCAGTAGCTCTCCATGGTTTGGGATGGTAGCCTAGACGGAGACAAGCATTGAAGATACGTGTAAGGAGCGGGCCGCATATCGTGAATCCCCACTTGATGAGCCGGTAGTTTATCTCCGATGGTCCTGGGGCAGATATATTAGATGTGCCGTTGAGTGCTTCGCTCACCTCTTCGATGGAGATGGGTACGAACGGCCGGGGATCTCTAGCTGGGGGGTCTGTGGTTTGTTCTATTGCAACTTGCGAAGGGGCCGACGGGAAGAAAGCTGCCTTGAGGGTTTCACCAAGCTCGGCCGGGGATGCTGCAATACCATTGTCAGTGACAAGAGGGGGTATCCGAGACTTACGTTTGCCAGCTGACCAGTCTGCGAGTCGCCAGACATTGTCGGGGGTAGCCGATTCAAGAACGGAGTTAGCCCAATCTTGTTTTGCTTTCTTGGTGACCCGGTGCATGCGGTTGAGCAGTTTGGGTTTGTCTTCACGAGTTGCCATTCGCATTTCCTCTACCGCACTGCGACATTCTTGATTCCACCATCGAGCCGCTTTTGCCGTGTTCAGCTTGCGGTCAGGCATGCAGGAGCTTGTAGCCTGGGTGAAGCACTCGATCAGCTTTTCAACTACACAGTCTAGCTCCTGGGCGGAATTGAGTTCATTGAAGCCATCAGCCACGGTTTGGCACCGTGCAGAGAATTCGGCTGTCCACTCTTCTTGTTTCCCCAGATCAAGGCGTTTGCCTAGGCTACTGGGTGCGCAATCTTCTTCAAGGGTTGGGAGGTTGGCATAGTATACTAGAGTGTTGTGGTCCGAACCAAATGATAAATCTTCGTCTATGGTTGGAGCAGTAAAAGCGACAGAATCAATGGCAGCGCAGTTGAAGAAGGTGAGGTCAATGACGGAATCTCGTTGCCCGCTGGCTCCAATTCTCGTGCGAGAGCCCCGGGGATTAGCTAGCATGAAAAGGTTGTCAGCGGCCCACTCTAGCAAGTCCTTGGCCGACAGCTGGTTGCCAACCGGGGACAGTGACCACATGCTGTGGTGCAAATTAAAGTCTCCAGCGACTACAGTGGGTAGTAGGGGGTTGAGCGGGAGGAGTGACAACATTGTTATCGCCTCTGCCTTGACCCCGTTGCCTTCATTATACACATTAACTGCAAGGAATGAGAGATTTCCGTAAGTGAATTCTACAGGTAAAATATTAGGATGCTTAGCGATGTCTGGTCGGGGGGTCGCGGTAAGCCCAGGGACATTGCGGCGTACATATGTAGCAACTCGAGGTTTTCCTGGGCAGAGCGGGGCGAAAGACTCCCACGCTGGCGACACAGGAAGGCCGTTAATGGGGCGCCCTTCTGGGTTTGAGTCTGACTTATCAAGCCCTATGCGACCGAACCATGGCTCCTGCAACATAAGGATATGTACATCAGTTAAATGGTTGAGTATAATGTGGATCCGTATCGACGAGCGAGCCACGTTGAGTTGCACGATCTTTAGGGGGGTAGTCCTGTTCATGTGTCAACTTGCATGGGTGGGGGTGGGACAGGCCGTGCTGGTGTTTGGTGGGTCTGGGACGTTTGAGGGACGGGCGGGGCGGGCCGAGGGACATATTTGCGCTTCTCCGGGCAGCTAGGTTCAGTTGCCCAATGTTCTCCTTCACAGTTTGCACATCGCGGCGTGCACTTGCATGTGCTGGACCCATCCTTAAGAACAGAAGGGCAATAGACATTGTGCTCCGTTGTGGGGTGCCTTTGCGCGCACTTAGCGCAGACACTTGGCTTGTTGCACAGTTTTGCTGTATGTCCTAGGCCTTGGCACCTGTTGCACTGAGTTAGTTTAGGTTTCTCTCTCCATGGGCGTACCGGAGTGTTTCGGCCATCCATGAAGATGGGAGTTTTGAGCAACTCTTTGAGTTTGGACCCATCCGGGTCTTCGAAAGTGAAGACGACAGGCGCCACAGGGGGCAACCCATCTGCTGGGTTTGAGACAAACCGGGGTTCCTGCGTAATCTTGAGGTTCTTGATGATTGGGTTGCGTCGAAGGAGGTTGCCAAGAGCTTTAGAGTCCCAGTAGTGACCATCAAACCCCATAGAGGGAACTCTTGAGCACACCGCCTTGGACCATTTGGTGTCATGAGATATTATCACTTCGCTGAGATTATGATCTACAATGGAGTGAATCAAGTTAGTATGGTTGTAAATGGTGGTAGGGTTGACATGAGATGGAAAGGTTAAGACTATGTTGCCACTTCGATTCCATTCCGCGCCGAGGATCTCAAGGCCGTCGTTTCGAGCAGCCGCATTATTACTGAAGGCCTGGTTGAGAGAGTGGAAGAGAAATTGGGAAGATTTACGGCTGTCTTCAGAGGGAGAACGTCCCTGGAACCGCACTATGAACTTCGTGTTAGGTTTGGCTACTGGAGAGGTGGTCGCTGCCTTGGGCTGCTGAGCTGGCTTAGGCTGAGCTGCGGGGGATGATTTGGTTACGGTTGCATACGAGGGGGAAGTAGCGGGCTGATGTCTCAGGCTAGAGCCATTGGAGGTGGCAGGGGGAGGTGACGGGGATGGTCCAGGTCCAAGCCGTCTTTCAACGTTTGAAATCCTGGTGGACAGGTTGGCTTCCAGATTGCGAAACAGGTCTTTAATTTCCGATTTGAAAGTATCGAGGGCGTTATCGGGTGGGGTGTGAGGCACTGCAGGTTGGGACATGAATATGTCGTCATCAACTGATATCAAGCGGTCGATCTCGTCAAGCGCAGTCTTCAGCGCTCTCGCAACGTCGGAAGCTGCTGCCACAGCTTCAGCTACATCTGTCCACGCTAACGTCTTTCTGGCGCCCTCGACAATGTCTTCTAGCATTTGAACGCATGTCCGGGTCCAATCTGGGTATGGCATTTGTATGGAGCCGCCACCTTGTCGGATTGCAGCTGAGGCGACGCGGAGTGGGCTAGCAGGGGGTGGTGTATTGCGCGAATCGACTCTGGCTCGCTTTCTGGTAGGGGTTGCGTCTTGTTGGCCAGACAAGGGGACATAGAATTCACTCAGGTTTGGCACAGAAGCAGGATCTCCGAATTCGGATCCGTAGGTACTAGGGGACCGGGGGGGCGGGGTTAGCGGTGGATGCCGGGCCCAGGGCTCAGGATGCTGTATTCCGCCACTTGGCTGGGCTACGAGGGCCCCGGGGTTGGGTGGAAGAGGGCTTGTTTGAGAGGGTGGTATGGTTGGGGATGGGCGCTAAAAAGATACGATGAGAGTAAGAGGCCAAGAGGACTCGTCACCTGATTTTGTTGATCAACAAACGCGTCCACAACGTTGAAAACGTAAAGTTGAAGGAATTGCGTGACCTTGGGAAGGTGATGTTTCGACGTTGGTACACTTGACTTCCCAACGTAGCAAGGGGAGAGATCCAGTTCCTCTGGGGGAGGTGGGGTTTTCTTCAACTCGAAGAGGTGAGTTTCGATGTTCCGATATTCCCAAGTCTTTTCTAAAAGTTAGTAAATTCCTGGGTTCAGGCAAGACGTCGGATTTCACTTGGTTTAAACCACGAATTTCCAAGCCTCGGATATCCCAAGCCTGTACTCGAAGTTGGACTTTCGGATATTGGAAGACAGGGATTCCGCACGTTGAGTACAGGTGTTGATATTCCCATATTCCTTCTTCTCAAAGACGGATTCCCGGGTCTCCGTGTTTGTGCTAAGGAATTCCCATGTTCCGACTTCGGATGTTCGAGGCTTCAACGTGTACAACAACCCACCAAGTAAGTCCCAGCGTGTATTTTCAATGTAGCCCCACCGACTCATTGTTGTCGTGAACACAGGGCGTCTCGACTCCCAACTCCCAGACCGTTAGCTGGCATCGCAAACGGGGTGCGTCTAACCCCATCTATCGCATTCATTTCCATTCGTTCTTTTCGTCTTCGTTTTCGTTTTCGTTTTCGTTTTCGTTCCCCCATCCACGCCCATTCCCCTCCTCCTTCCTCGCCAATCGCTGACTTCCTCCACAGCTCCCACCTAACAGCGCCGCGAACCGCTCACGCCCAAGACTACACCCACGACGCAGGTGTGTCCCTCTCTTGTTTACCCTCCCTTCCCTCCCTCTCTCTCGCTCTCGCATACATCCCCGTCCTCACCCAGCCACTGCGACTCTCTCCCTTCAACCTCACTCACCCCACGCACTGCAGCACGCCCACGCCACGTCCCAACACCCAATACGACGCAACTCCCTCACTTGCCCCTCAAACGGCTACCTCTGACTACCAACGGCCTACTACGAACCCACGTCGCCCTCTCTTTCCCCGTCGAACGTGACGCCATTGACCGTCCTCAAGAGCCTCGCACGTCCGCATTCACTACCCGCGCTACTCCACCCCTCCCGTCAACTTCAACGGCTACCTACTATCCTAGCAACTCCGCGCCTGCCCCACGAACCCCCAAATCACCTCTACGCCCTCAAAACGGTCAACGACGACTATACACACCCATAACGCCGCCCAACGCCGCCCAGAATCCTGCTCCGTGAATCCAAGTCGCGCAAGTTTCTCGACCTGGATGCGTCAGAACGCGTACGCGTCAGCGAGTCAGAATCGAAAGCATGAACGAAGACGGGATGGGTAAACGAAAGCGAAAGCCAGAAACGGCGTATGCAAAACGGGGCGTAGGGAAGAAACGGGGCAAATAGCAAACGAAGACAAGGAACGAGCACACCGAACGAAGGGACAGGAGGCGGAACGCGAAGCAACGAACGGTATACGAGATACGAGATACGAGATATGAATGCGAGGACGAGGACAAAGACGACGATGAGGTACGTACCTACTTTGTTTTCATTTTCGTCTTCGTTTCCTTCGTTTAAGCGTTAACGTTTGCGCTGGCGCAGGCGCTGTGTTCGCATGTTGCAGAGCGGATGCCTGGACGTGGAACGTGCGATGTGGAACGTTGGGTCTGGCGCGGCGGGCAACGGTTATGGCAACGTGTGGTGGGCAACGGGTAGTGGGCAACGGGTAGTGGGCAACGGGTAGTGGGCAACGGGTAGTGGGCACCGTGTAGCTGTGGCGCGAACAGATAAACGAGGAGAGCGAAAATGAAGAAACGAAGACACGAATAACGAAGTAATTGAAGAACAAGTAACGAAGAAATGAAGACGAAGAAAGAAAGGCACGAAGGAACGAAGACGAAGAATGAAATGAAAAACGAAGGAAGACGTCTGCGTGCGCGCACCCACCTCGACGCCTTGCCGCCCATCCAATAATCGATTCCAAATCCGAATCCCGGGGCCTGCTGGCGGCTCGAGCAGCTGCAGCACGATGTGTCAAACGCAAACGCGAACACCGACGCTGACGACGACGACGTGGGCATGGGTGTGGTACTAACAGAAACGCCAACGTGTGCACGCAAATGTAAACGCCAATGCCAACGCAACCACGAATATACCAACGTAACCATGAATACTCAACGCGAAAGATGGGCGCAACGGCGGCGGAAACGCGTGCACGCACGCCAACGCCAACGCCAACGTTAATGCCGACATACGGGCAAGAACGCGCGTACGAGACGCTGGGGCTGCAGCCTGCGAATGCACGCGAATGCGAACACAATGCGAACGCAATACGAATACGCATACACACGGGGAACGGGAACGGGACGGGGTGCGACGCAACACGGTGCAGAAGGCAAGGACGAATGGGAGGCGGGAGACGCAGACGCAGACGGGGGCAGCAACGAAAACGGAACGGGGAAGAAACAGACGGGGAGCGACGAGGAACGAAAGAGACGGAGAGGATAAGTACGAGTACGCACCGGCGAATCCAGAGCGCAGGCGCGCGATTGCACGACGTAGGATTGTGCTCGCGTATCCTGGGAGAGGACGGCGAGGCGTTAGTGCTGAGGGAAGGGGAGTTAGTGATTGGCGCACAGGCGAGTAGGGGAGACGGAGAGAAGGAGAGGAAAGGAAAGGGACGCGGATGATGCAAGACGAACGACGAACGACTAGAACGGTAGACGCACCCCGACGAAGCGAAGGCGCAACGATAACGCTACGGGGATACGACGTGGAAGCGAAACGAGATGGGAAGGAAACGAAACAAAAGGACAAAAGAAGAACGAAAGAGAAGAACGAACACGAAAGGCGACGAAGATACGCACCGACGCACCTGCACCCAATCTGCGTGTCAAGTCCGCCAGATTGCGAAACGATGTGCTGCGTCGACAAAGGCGAGTGGGCGTGTTTGCATCTACGGCTTGCGAACGACGCTGGCGTTGCGTGGAGACGTTGATGGCTGGGAGGAGAAAGCTAGAGTGACGAAGACGAAGACGTTAGCGTTAGAGGAAGGAATGGGAACGCGACGAAGAGGAGAAGAGAAGAGAGGTACGTACCTAGCCAATCGATAGTCGCTGCGCAGCGCTGACAACGTCGTCGTTGTAGATGGAAGCAAAACATCGTTGTTGTTGTTGTTGTCGTCGTCGACAGGACTCGCGCGCGACCCGTAGGAATAGACGGTAGGGACCCTGTATTAACAAAATGTAGTTCGTTAGATCACTTTCGAATAAACTGGTTTGCGCATGACTTACCTAGGCTACGCCGCCGTTGAGAGATTCGAGGCGATTCGCAGATCGAGCCCTGGATTCATATGGGATTAGCTGCACGGCAAGGGATTGGATTGGAAGGATAGAAGAATGAGTAAGGTATGCACGCACTCGTTCATTTGTTCGTGGTTCGTTCAGCGTACTGACGGCGTTGGGCGCTGATTCGTAGTTCCAGCGACGGGTTTCGTAGACGGTCCATCTGGATTCGATCAGTCGCGCGCTCTATTTACGGCCAGGAACTCACGCACTCACGCACTCGCTCTCGCACTAGTTGTGGCGCGTCTCGTCGGTCCACGGGCACGCTTCACGGGCACGCGTCTGGATCCCCGCCGCTCAGACTGTCCCCGTCGTTCAAAGTCCAGCAATTCGACCGCGACTTGCTCTTCTGGGTGTGCTGTTCGTTCGTCGGAATCGCGCAATCACCCAGCTCACGGGGACGACGGCGACGGCTCAGTTGTCCAGTCCACAATCCACCCACGCACTCGCTCTCACATCCCTGGCCGGCGTGCTGCGTGGTGAGTCTCGGGTCTACGTCTATGTCTACGTGTACGTTCGCGCTGATCCTCTCTCTCTCATCGCAGCTCTCAATCTCAATCTATCTCCCAGATTCAAGGCTTCGCGCCGACCCTCCGCCAACAACTCTCGACGACGCGCGCGACGACTGCGCCTTCGCGTACTCAGCATCCAATCGCGAGTCGTCGACGTGGACGACAATTGGCGGGCCTGTTACTCGGACCTGGTAGATTTGGGTGTGAGTTGGGAAGCCATTGGTGCACGCAACGAGCTCAAGCTGTGGGCGGTGCAAGGTGAGTCGAGCTGGCACCTGGACTGTGTGGTCGATAACTTACTGGGTGCGGTGCACAGCGTGCGTACGATGCTCTGTTGTTGGACGGGCGTGACATCCTGAGACTTGGATTTGGGGCACAGACTGGTGACCTAGCCATTCGTTTTGTTGATTGCGAGTCTCGGCGTCGTGGTGAGTGTTGCGTGAGGCTGCCTCGACGATATGGTAAATCTATGATGTCGTTTCCAGCGATTTTGGCTCGCGTCTCTCGATACAAAATGGCGGCTTACCTCAATAGTGTGTTGTCGAGCACGTCTATCGCGTAGAGCATGGCCACGAACCTGGCGTTGTTCATCCGATCTACAACGCCTCGTCTGGTTAGTGATTTAGCAACGTACAGCAACGATGACGCTCACCACTATATTCAGCAGCTCCTCGACGCAACCCTTCGTCCTTGTGCAGACATCGCCGACGTTTCGCTCAAAGGAGCTATCGGGCGTGGGCGACACTTCAATGAGCGGCCATTCAAGTCCATCATTGGGCCGACCCTTCGCCAACAAACCTCGACGACGCGGTCGACGACGGCGTGTCCGCGCCTCAGACCTGGTAGATATGGGTGTGTGTTGGACGGCCATTGGTGTACGCAACGAGCTTGGGCTGTGGGCGGTACAAGGTGAGTCGAACTGGCAGCTGCACTGTGTGCTTGATGACTTACTGGGTGCGGTGCACAGCATGTGTACGACATTCCGTCGTTAACGGGTGCGACATCCCGAGACTTGGACTCGGGGCGCAGACTGATGTCCTAGCCGTTCGTTTCGTTTATTGCAAGCCTTCCCTTCCCGTCTCCCCCCTCCTCGTTTCCCATCCTCCTTACCGGTCGGCATTCTAGGCGAACGACGAGGATTGTGGTGAGCGCGACACCCGTACCAACCAGCGCAGTCAAGCAGGATCTAACGCCCACGCTGATGCCTGCGTTTTCGGACTGAACGCGCAAGCGGTAGCCCAAATGTCAAGCGGAAATGAAATGAAAAGGAGGTGCAAAGGGACGCGGGGAAGATTTGGAGATTGCGTGAGTACAAACTCTGCGCCTTCTTCTCCATTTAACGCTAACGAACATTTGTAGCCATGGCTGCAGATGCGAGATCAAGCTGGAATGAGGCGCAAGCACGTCGACGTCGAACGACAAACACGCAAGGCCATGAGGACCTCCTGCACCCGTCAAAGAAGACAAAAGTGAAGGCTGGGCGCGTAACGCACGAATGCAACGACCCGAACGAATGCATCCGAGTTCACTCGAACAGCGAAGTTAGCACTCATCCGTCGACGCATGGGAGCGAACGAGGAAACGGAGATGCGTCCACGTTCGAACTCGCAGGCGCAGCCAGACACAAAGACGTGGGCAGAGACGATTGGGCGCGACCAAGCCGAAATGTGCAAGCACGTCGACGCGAATGTCGAACACGCAAAGACCAACAAGGGCACAAGCACCTCCCGCACCCGTTAAAGAAGAAAAAATAAAAGGCCAGGTGTACAACGTACATACGCAATGACGCGAACGCGTGCAACCAAGTCCATGCGAACAGCAAAGTCGACGCTCGTTCCGCAGACGCCATGGGAGCGCGCAGGCACAGCCAGACCACAAAGAACCAGACGAAGATGGGGGGCAGAGCGTGAAGAGACAATTGCCCGTGATACAAGTGACACCCACGCCCATGTATAAAGAAGAAAAGCGAGCAATCGAACGGGACGAAGACCGTGAGCGCCACTACTCGAACTGCTATGCAAGCACCAACGAATAGACACAAAAACGAACGAGAACGAGAATGAAAACGAAACGAAGAGGCATGAGAACACGAACCGAGGTTTCCTGTCAACGCCGATGGGTCTTTCTCTGTCGTCGTAGAAAATTACAACGCGTACGCTGCTTCATCTACATACTCGTACTCTTCGCAATCTTACTAATTGACGTCATTGATAGAGGACTTGACGGGTCTCGCCAGTTCACTATGTCTGTGGACGGGACAGCGACCGGCAGCAACTTCGTTCAAGGTACCATTACCAAGAACGGTGTTAGAGTGAGTATCGCCCCCGTCCTTGTCATCACTCTCACTAACGACTTCACGGACAGGTTACCAAAGAGAGGCAGGCCAAGGAGACTATTCAAGCTCAACTCCCAGCCGGTACTACATGCACTGGCGGTTCCACAGGCAACAAATGCATCACGCAATTCTTGAACGCCGCAAGTCAGAAATTTGGTAATTGTGTCGTGGTACGTCTCTTCCATCTGCTACAAAGCTAGTATCTTGTGCTTACAGCTTGTCGTAGCTTCAACAAGGCGGTGCCAATGCGAACGCAAACGCAAATGCCAACGCAAACGCAAACGCAAACGCAAACGCAAACGCAAACGCAAACGCAAATGCCAACACAAACGCTTCTGCAGGCGGTGCCGCCGCAAACAGCAACGCCTAGGCCAACGGCTAGAGTCGCTACCGTCAATACCAACAACCGGAACAAGTCGGCGACAAATCGTATGGGCACCGCACAGCGAACGAAGACGAACACCAACAATAGGACGGCCAATAACAAGAATCGCGTCGCCAAAACCAGGGTTCAGGCCAATGCCAATGCCAACGCCAACGCGAGTGCTCAGGCGAAACTTGCCAAAGCTGGGGCCAACGCTCAGGCCAAAGCAAGCGCTAACGCCAACGCCAACGCCCAGGCCCAGGCCAATGCCCGCGCCAAATCCACCGCCCAAGCCAACGCCAACGCTCGTGCTAAGTCTACTGCTCAGGCCAATGCCAATGCCCGCGCCAAATCCGCCGCTCAGTCCAACGCTAATGCCAATGTTCGCGCCAAAGCTTCTGCTCAAGCAAGCGCCAACGCCCGGGCCTCCGCCAATGCTGCCGCCAACTCAAGAGCTCGCGCCGGTGCTTCTGCTCAAGCCAGTGCTAAATCGTCTGCCTCAGCCAATGCTGGTGGCCGCAACCGCAACACGAACTTCGTTTCCGCTTTGTCTTCAGCCGTCTCTGCAGGTGGCCGCACAACGCTGAGGACTGCCGTTAATAACAATGGCAACCGTGTCGCGGCAGTCAAGAGCTTCGGTCGCGCCCGACGATCCTATGTACGTGGCGCAGGACGAGATATCTATAGTTGTCCTGTGCAACCCCGGGCCCGCCTTGAATTGACCGTCGTGCGCGTGCGTGCGCGCGAGGGAGATACGCCCGCGTCCCTGCATTTCAGCATCATAGCGGCATCGCCAACGAGTGGACGCTGTGGCAAAGGGTGAGTGTGGTATCAGCGTGTCGTGGACGGGACACTTACTCGACAGGTTCTTTGCTGATACAGGGCCGTGACCATGCTTCCACGAACAGCAACGGCTACGAGTACGACTAGCCTACATTGCTGTCAGTATATGGCGAGCACGACGACGACGACGACAACGACGACAACGACGACGACGACTGTGATCACTCACAGTTGCTATGGCCCTCAAGTTGCGGGGGTTATCCTCGACGTTCCCGTTCGCGGCGACTACGTATGGGATCCAGACCGGTCGATGCAGCGACGACGACGACGGCACTCAGAGACGGGCACAAAGAACGGGTGGGTGGGTAAACTGACACCTTTTTGATAGCTTTTGCTTTTGCTTTCATTACTGACGACGTCAAACTTAGAACTCACAGGCGCCCTCCTGCAGTCGTTTGGCGTCGTTCACAGTCAGTCGCAGCAACCGAAGAGCGACGATGGCAAGCCGCGCAGCCAGGTGAATTCGAATGTGTCGAATCCTGGCTTTCATGATATTTACCCTGCCAGACTTCGCGACATATACGATTCACTCCAAAATGCCGACGCTTGTGCAGCCGTGACCTCCGAATTGATTGCATTGCTGGACAAGATTCCAGCTGGTTTGGCGGACCGTGGTATGTCTTTATCGTTTCACCGTTCCGGCAAAATGCTTTGCTGACGTGCCGATGGGTCACCTCAGTTCTTTCTTCCGCCCTCGAGGTCAAAACACGCCACTCCTCAATCCCACAGCTAGACCTCCCCAGTCGCAAACGCGAAATCGAGCTTTGTTTTCAGTCGCGCGGTTGATTGCAGTCTTACGATTTGCTTTGGAGTGTAGATCTGTCAGAATCGAGCAAGGGTGTAACTACCAGTATGTACATTAGCAACTATTGTTTACTGTTTTTGAACGACTGAGTTTCTGTCTTGCTTGTTTACCTTTGGATTTTCCTCCGCACAGGGTGAGGATTATTGTCTTTTCCAACAAGGGTTCTTCTCTGTGTCGCTCAAACCTGAGATAATCGTACTTACAAGTACAAGGTATTCCTAACCTCAGAACCTGGGTTTGCCTTTGCTCGCAGTAGGGCTTGGAATTTCCCTACTTCAATGCGAATTAGATTTCCTATATTGCCTTCCTTTGTCTTAGATCTCAATGTATACTGCCCAAGGACATTGTAGACAATTTTACAACAAATATTTCTCCTGATTAGTAAATGCAACAAACCACGGTCGACCGAAGTCGAGCACTAATTAGAGAAAAAATACTGAGTACTGAGTCTTCAGAACAGTACAAAATATACTACCCTTCTCATTCCAACAACGATACAAAAGAATGAGAGAGTTCAAGAATTTTTTTTATCAAAATAGTCGTTGAAAATGTATGAACCCAATCTAACTTGAGAGTCGGGGTTGAAAGTATATAACAAACATCACTCACATTCAGACTAAATCTTAGTTAAATCCAAATACTAAATCTGCGGCAACTATGCTACATAGCCACCCATAAACGCTTACTTGGATGTCGTAGATTTAATAGCCCACCAAGATAAGAATTTCTCTTTACTAAAGGGTTGAATTTCTTTGAATTGGAAATAGCAAATTTGAGAAAACGACCAAGGTCATTCAAGTCTAAATATTATTTTCTACTACGTCTAGGCTTTGCATCTCCCCGCTCTATGCGAGCTATCCGTACTATCCTTAGTGCGTCAGAGAACTTTGACCATGTCCCCAGGTAGTAGTTTTTAAATGTTTCTTGATCTCCTCCGCAGTATCCTGCGTACTCTTCATATAAAAGACGAATATTGCTGAGTTTCTGAGCTTCAGATTTGTAAGACTTGGGGGAGAATGCTGCTTTCCAATGCTGCAAGGGTACAATAAGCCCTCTTGCGGGGTCACCGAATAACCAATACCTAATTACGTCGTCCATCGTATGAGTAACTGGTATGCGTGTCGGTTTTGATCCCAGAAGTACGTAATCCACCTCGGAAATTAAAGGTTCATCATCTTGAGGGGGTGAGGGAGGAGGATCAGTGCTGGACGTTGCCGTTGGGAGGGCATGTTCAGAGAGTTGAGCTTGAAGTAACGCTGGGAATAATGAAGGTAGAGGGGGAGTATTATCTGAGTTGGTGCAGTAAGTATATCACTTTTCTAGATAGAATACACGCTTACGGTGAGAGCTATCCTTGTATTGATCCAGACGCCCAGGAGTATTGAGAAGCAAGGACTCTAGGTGATTGCCTAGTTTACTTCCCAAAACATCCAAATCTCGAAGCGTCACAGGAGTGGATGGATCAGGCACCCCCATAAAGTTCTCATGACAGTGATTTTTTCGATCATCCATGAGAATATCGCTGAAGCCTTCTTCATAAGCTGTCAGCTCATCTAGTAAATAGCGCATGATTGTTCCGACCTTTCAGATATCAGTCTTTGAAAAGTTCCCGAAGTCACTTGAGACTCACATTTTCACCTGACGCCCACCCACCCCACCACTTCACCGCCTTCAAACTCCACTTTGATTCAGCCCACATAAACCGATACTGTGCTCCTCCACGTCGGAAACAATGAGTAGTGAACTGTCCATTGTGTCTGTTCAAAACCCCAGACTTGGCCACAATAAGATCAAGTAACTTTTCTATTCCAGCGCGTGTCATAGGTTCGCCTAATTTGAGCTTTCCAGTTGAAGCCAACGCTGGAAACAGATAATCATCTGCTTTCAAAGGTCGCTGAAGATGAGATCGAAGAACCTTTAGCCAAGCAGAGATATGTGCATAGCAATCGATCTCAGGCATGTCACTCTGTGACGGAATCATGTAATTTTGAACTGCACGGTTTATAAGTTAGATAAGATGTGAAATAGTCAGCCTATGACGCACCATTGTTAGGATCCTTATTGGTCTTCCGAAATATTAGACGAAAGTTGTGATACTGCTGGCCTGAGCTGGAGATCTGGTGTGGTGTCAGCTCGCCATACTGGAAGTTGACTAGCTCTTCATTTCTGTAATGTGTTCATTGACGCTAGATACCCGTGGAAGATAATGACATACCTGGTCCATAATTTGAATGCTGTGGTTGCAAAGGCTTTAAAGTAGGCCTTCTGAATATCTGAGACGTCTCCAATAGAGGTTTCGTTATCAAGGTAATCCATGATGATCTTCATATCTTTTGGTAACATTGGCAAGGCCTGAGTAGCTGTAGCAGTACGGTTTTGGCGATTCTTGAGGGATTCAAAATACACCTTGAAGTCGGTCTGAAAGACAGGGTTGCCCTCCCAAGTCCTTGTATGTGCATTGAACCGCCAGCCTTCTCCTTGACAACCCAACACCCTGGTATTGCTGATCAGCGTAAGCAAAGGAACCTCAACACTCGCCTCTACTCGCCTTTCGAAGTAGTCCTTGAAGGCTGAGCGAGTCCCTTCGGCAGTGGAAAACCCTCGTCCTTGATGATCACACTTATAGGTAATGAATAAGCGTAGAGCCAAGGGTGTCTCCTCCTTGATGACTTCAAATGCGCCTTTCAAAGCTACGTCAGGAGCCTGGGTATCTTCAGAAATTTCATTAGTGGTGTTGTCGTCCTTCTCAGCACTGGCTGCATCTTTAACCCAGTTTTCCAACCACAAGATTCCGGCCTTGACATAATTTGCATATCCCTCTCGAGTACTTTTTGAGCGATACCACTGGTCCGTTGTCACTTTGCTTTGACCCGGAAGTTGCTCGACAGTCGGAAGAGCCGGTTCTTTGGTGATTTTGGAAGACGGTGTGACTGGAGTTGGAGGTAAGGCTGACACTAGGGTCCGACGCTTTGTTGGAGTGGATGGGGCCTGGTTGGCCGAACGTTTGGGAGACATGGGCTACGGCAGTAACACACAGTTGTTGAAGCAACAGCGTCAAAAAAGGTCTATTGACTAAGTCCGACCACCGCTGCTTGAACTGAACAAAGTGAACTGGGAGGCCCCGTTGGTGAGCCACAGAGAATCAGTAGTTCAGTCGCTGAGCGGGACGAGCAAGGGAAATCGGTAACTCATGATGGGGTTCCGATCACTCAGATGATGTCAGCATCACACTTTTAGGTCACACATGTGACGATTTAACATAAAGTTAAATCTGATCGCCTTATGGTTTACATATATTAAACACTCAGAGTACGGAGAAAGGGAGTATTTAATAATAATATTGTGTCAAAATAAGATTATAATAAAATATAATGATATTTTCTCGGTGCTCTACTTGCAAGTTTGGCTGTGTTTGGGCGAGTCCCAGAGCCAGCAGTTTTGGTTTGAGCGCCAATAATGCGGGGCAGTCCCCCGTCTCCTTCTTGTTCTCTTAGTACACTTTCGCCGCGCTGACTATCCACCATATCCAGATCCAACCTCGTGCTCAACCCGCACGCACTCGTCGTCCTCCTCACGATCGAACGCCAGCGCCGCAAGAGCTGGCGTATGTCTCCGTGTGTGCGTCCGTGTGTGCAGGACACTCGGCGCTGCCGACGTCCCTGTGAAGGGCATACTGCACGCTCGGAGAATCGGTGGGGAGCTCGCAGGGAATTGGGTCGTATTGGTGCAGAATCGGGGTACGTCGTCTCCCTCGTCTGCCCAGCCTAGCGCGTACTCACACCTTTGTTTGATTCGTCAGCGCGGGCGTACTGATGCAGACGCAGGCACTTGTACCGTCGGCCATCTCCGCCTGCGCGCCCGTCTTTCGTCTTTTCGTCATCTGGGCGTAGTGTGGGGGTAGTATGCACAGCGTGGTTGCGGTGGACATGCCAGGGCACCAGCATAGCGCCGTGAACTCGCACCATCCGCGCACCGTGCTTTCCTTTGCATCAGTCGAACCCCAGCGGCACGTCCTTCGTATTCGCAGTAACAACCAAGTACGTGCATACGTACGTTGTACTAGCAAAGTAAGTGTTCATCCAATTAGTCGTTTCGTTCAGCTTATTCAAGCGGAACGCGGCTGACTTACCTGCCTCGTCAGCGCCGTCACCGTCGACGATACACGCAGTGGCAGCGCCCGGCGGTACTTGCTTGCTCCCTGGTACGTATCCCCTTCGCTCCGTTTTGTTTCTTTTCGGTGTGTTCTTGGGTATGGGTGTGTGTGCGGCGTCGTTCGTTTTCTATTCCGTTTGTCGTTGGTTTTTTCGTTGTTCGTTTTCGTTTGCATTTGCTGTTTCGTTTTCATTTCCACCTCGACGTCGGTTCGCCTTCGTTTCTTCGTTCCCTCGTTCGCCTTCTATTTCTACTCCAGTGTCTCCCGATCGCGTTCTCACCCTCTTCTCGTTTCTCTTTCCCCGTTCGTACTCCTTCTCGTTTCCCGTTCCTCGTTTCGCGTTTCGCTTCTCGTCCGGCTATCGCATGGCGCACGCGTATCGTACCCCGTCCCGCCGTCTCTGCGTTCCTATCTCTGCATCGGTGCGAGCGTCGTTTGCGTACCTCCATCTCCGTCTTCTCTCCTCACACCCAACCCTCATCCCTCATCGTCTGTCCTCTGTTACGTCTTCCGCCCCAGACACCGCAACTGACTTCTCCTCTTCCCTTCTTCCGCCTTCCACTCTTCAGCTTGCTTCAGCGTACGCGTCAACCGCCAATCGCCCATGCTCAGTCGCCAATCGCTGCTCGCGCACACGCTAGGGCATACGAGTACGATGATGGCGTGGAGTCGATGTCAAAGTCGGTGGTAGATGGTAGATGATGATGGTGGATGTCGACGTTGGCGGGGCATGTCGGTGTCGATGGTGATCGTGAGTCTGCTTCAAATTCGTGTCTGTTCGCGTGTTCGTCTTCCCGGCTTCCTTCTCGTTGTCGTTGTCGTTCTCGTTCAATCGTCCTGTCGTCCTGCCGCGCGTCGTCACAGTTCGTACTTCCTATTCGTTCCATTCCATTCTGTTTCGTCTCGTTTCGACCAACTTACATCGTTTCGCTAACCTCCTCCCAGCCACAGGACCTTCCCACCACTACCACCGCAAGAAAGTCGTCCGGGAATCGGGGACTGGAATCGACAAGCGAGGCAGACTGTCTCGCGAAAAAAGTGTTTTGACGACATGTTTTCTGCCCGAAATCGGGTGTTGGTCGTCGTTTGGCGCGGAGAGGTTTTGCGCATCTCATTTACTCTTTTCGTCATTTGTCTGCAGCTTTCGTGGTGGCGAAACGTGGAGTGTGGATGGTGATTGAACGGACGGACGGCAGTTGCAGGGGAGTGTGTAGGTAGGCGGCGAGGATGCGTGTATGCGCGTTGAACGTTGATGGAGTAGGGAGACTGGGGTAGGGAGAGGCTGGGAGGGAGGAAGGGAGGGAGCCGCAGTCGAGAACGATGGCTGGTGATTGAGCTCGAGGTTAGGTTTGGCAGTACAAGTCTTTGATAGCGTACGTACCCTTGGTTTTCCCTTCATCCGTGTTGTCCAACCCATGCTGACTGACTTGCTAGCGAGGGACGAGTGGCAACTTGTATGTGGCGAATCGTGTATGGGCTTAACGGCGTGGATGGATAGATTCGACGCGATCTCGGATATTCAGGGTGAAAGGGATGGCGGGATGGCAGGGCCGTGTTGAGGGATGGGGACGGAATAGGGCTGGGTCTGAGTGGGGATGGGAGGGAAGGGGACGGGTGTTTGTAGAGTAGAGCCTGCGCTGGGTTTGAGTGTGGACGCGCGGAAAGGTTAGCGAGAGTGAGTACGCGGCGAGAATGCGCGTTGGGTGGGATGGGACGTGTGCCCTCTGCTTGTCCTCGTTGCCTGCGCAGCGGCGGCTGTCTTTCCGTGAGTCTCGATGGCGCTTATCACTCCCCGAACGAGTTACTGACAATCTCTCCATATCTCCGTTTCGTCGTCCTCGTCCTCGACCGTCACCTGGCGTTGAATACCTGCAACAAGGCACTCCACGAGCGAAGGTGTGCGATCCCGACGTCTCTCGATGGTGGAAGGGGGTAGGTGCGCCACGAGGCCTGGTTGGCCCCGGATAAAGTTGGCGACGGAGTGCGAGAGGGACGGGAAGGGGAGGTTGGCTGCTGCTGGAACAATAACGTGGTGAGTGGCCAGGTTTCTCAGCACGATGGGGGCCCACCTTCTTCAGCCCTGCACTGCGCTGCGTCGTCGCCGTCGCCGTCGCCGTCATCGTCTACGACAACCCTGGCCGTCCCATCCCTTCCTGACTTGGCCCCTTCCCCTCCGTCCGTCCATCCTCGATTCTTCAGTAGGCCAAGTGTAACGGCCGTTGTTGGGTGCTGGGTGCGATGCTGCGTGGGTTTTGGGACGACGGGAACGACTCCGCGGGCTGCAGGTGGAGAAGAGGTGGATGGTGTTGCAGTTGTAGTCAGGCTGTCGCACAGAACGGTTGGGCGGTGTCAACTGGGCGCGGAGGAAATGTGAGGGATAGAGAGGGCGCTGTGGGGCGGGATAGAGAGGTGAGTGCATTTTCGCGAGTCCGAGACGGGTGCTCACCTTCTCCTTTGCTGTTTGTACTCCCTCATCACGACGCCGAGACTTGCGATCAGCGAAATGAACAGCCAGCTCGCCAGTCTGCGCCCCGAGTCCAAGTCTTGGACGTCGCGCCCGCCCAACGACGGAATGTCGTACGCACGCTGTGCACCGCACCTAGTAAGTCATCAAGCACGCAGTCCAGGTGCCAGTTCGACTCACCTTGTACCGTCTACGTTGCGCGAAATCGACTTGCTGATGACGTCGAAACGAATGGGAAGAGGCGTGGAAGGCAGCGACATTAGTGAGGACTTTGCGCAAGAAACAAGATCAACAAGCTTACCTAACACAAAGGAAGCGCCCGAGTTCTTCGCCATCGACGAGTCCAACCCAGTCTATCCTATCCGAACGGGTTGAGGGCCATAACTCTTCTACCACCCCATCCCGTGTCGACAAGCCAGGAATCCCTCGAGTCGAGCTTAAGGTGGTAGGGACTTCAGCGGTTGCGAGAAGCGAGCAGGGATCGTCGAGGAAACGACGGAGCTTGACGAGGCGGGAAACGACTGCGCGTACGCAAGGACAAGGACACGTCGACAGGGAGTGGAGGGAGGGAAGAATGAAATTTGAGTCGTTCTACGCATTCATACTGATGTATCAGTGAAAATCGCGCCAATCAACGACACTTAGACTGACCTAGTATACACGCTGTCCACGATCTCGATATAGTACCCACGTTCGCCGCAGACAACGCTGCGGGATCTCCATACCCCCATCCCAGCCTGCCAAGGCCGGCTACATCACTAACCTGCGTCCCCGGGTCCCTGACTGAATCCATCCTGGATGGATAGGCGACCTTGTCGTCAACGTATACCGACGATACGCCATCAACATATTCGGTGGCGTTGAAGCCTTGCGACGAGGCGCTCCGCTGACGAAGGGGCGCGGTCACGATGTGTCTCGGTAGTGGAAGGGGGTAAGTCACCACGAGACCTGGTAGGTTGTGCATAACGTCGGTGATGGGGTGCGAGAGGGACGGGAAGGGGAGCGTGGATGCTGCTGGGGCGATAACCTGGTGGGTGGCGATGTTTCTGGACTTGCTGGGACCCACCTCCTTCAGCCCTGCGCTGTGTCGTCGTCGTCGTCGTCGTCTACGCCAGCCCCTCGCCGTCCTACCCCTTCTTAACTTGGCCCATTCCCCACCGTCCTTGCGTCCTCGCTACTCCAGCAGGCCACGTGTCGTCGCCGTTGTTGAGTGCTGGGTGCGACACTGCGTGCTTCGGGACGACGTTATCGACGCTGAGGGTTGCAGATGGAGAAGACGCGGGGGTGCCGTAGGCGTTGTCAGGTCGTCACACGGAGTGGGTGCAAGGTAGTTGGACGGGCGCAGTGGCGTTGGGGGGATATCGTGGTGAGTGTATCTCCATTACTTTGAGACGGGTACTCACATTCTTTTCTGCTGTCTGGTCTTCTCATTGTCGACGCCAGTGCCTAGCTGGCTCTCCCTGCCTCCGACCTTCATCTATCCCCTTCCTACGCCTATGCCAACGACTGATATTCGTCTTTCCCTCGCTCGTTCGTCTCGCGTCGGCGTGCTACTGGTGTCTCAGCGATTATCTTGCCTCGTCGTCATCGTCGTAGGCCATGTTGGCGGTATTATGGGCTCGGGAGACGTTGATGGGCTTCTGTCGGGCTGTGGGTAGGGATAGGCAGTACCATGCTATGCCCAGGTGCGTATGCCGTTGATGGTATTGTGTAGTCCCGGTACGCTGTCGTTTGGGTTCGCAGTTGCGGCGCAACGTGTTCAGGTGTAGGAAAGTGGATCCTGCGTCGTAGACGTTGCGGCTGGTGGTGTCGGAGGCTGGGGCCTCTTGCCTCGTGAACCGGGAGGCAAGTGGGTGGTGCATGGCCGGCAGTAGGGTGGACAAGGGCAGCTGGTGTTGAGGTGAGTCTGCACTGAACTGATCTTTGAGAGCCATGGGGTCGTGCTTACCCTGCAGCCGTTGCCTCAGACACGTCCTGCAATTCAAGTTCGCCGGTCTACACCATGGCGCTGTGAGGGTACTAGAGTGAGGATGTGAGGGAGGACGAGGGTCAGGAAATGGAATACTTACCTATTGGCTTACCCAACCATGCCAACTGCATTTCCCTGGCATGTGTGGTCCACGATGTCGAAGGAGAACGATGGAGGGCGGGAGTTCGCGAGTCAGTCATGCGAGAAGAAGAATATCGAGGGAGGACGATCGAGGGCGGGGCTGCCCCGCATTATTGGCGCTCAAACCAAAGCCACGTGCGCGATCGAAGTCCGCTCCGTTGCTTCCTTCAACACGCACCACGACGATAGCGAGGACAATGTAGACGGCAACGACGACGACTGGATCCCGTATCAACGCCCAACATCCCGCTGCATCCCAAACCTCGTCGAGTGCCTGCTGCCGACACTGCGGAGCACGCAGTAGGCCTTCTCCAACAGCCCGAAGACGACCAGCTCATTCGCAGCGACGGCTGCAGCGGCTGTACCACGAAGGGAGGACTAGGAGACGTGGGCGTAGGGGAAGAACTGGATCACATACCGAACCACGAGAAGCGAACGCGCCAGCGACAACTTAGGTTTGCTCACACGTCTTCCGGGACAGCACGGCTACTCACCTGCGTCTTGTGCCCACAGTCCCGGCACGCGGCCCTCACATCCATGCGCACTCCGACGCCAGCGGTATGATCAACCAAAGCAGCCACCAGCCAGCGCTGTCGGAAGAAGCAGCTGGACCAACGTACACATCGACTTGCGCGCGCAACGAGGGCGTACAAAATGGGGGTGGGGCCGAATCTCAGGATCGCAAGGGAACGAACGTACGACCAAGGGATAAGTCGAATACGTCAGTCGAAAACACCATGCCCATCCAGCACGCCCGCTACAAGTCAAGGCAGTTTGCCACCTCGCCAGCTTGCAATTACGATACAAGCGCGGGAATGGGAGATGGCGATTACAGGAGATAGAATGCGAGGGGGTTGGGAGGAGTCGCGACTACGGGATCATGGCCACCTTGTCACCGCGGCGCGTGGAACCGAAACTCCAAATACCAAGGTGCAAATGAAGCTAGCTGTGTACTCGGATCCTCTCGATCGTGCGATCACTCAGAGCTATGGTTCAGAGGCAAGTCCCGGAGGTTAGCAGCGTACCATTGACTGATCTTGGGCTTAGGTTACTTCCTGGATATGCGCTCTAGGGCCAAGGGTGTTGGAGGTGTCGTGATGGGTCCAGATGCCTCGCGTGGAGGGGCGTAGAAGACGAGACAGTGCAAATTGGGGACAAGGAGGTATGTCTAGCGAACTACACGCCTCGCGGGCTATTTCGACGTACTCACAGGTTGCTTTACAGAGTTCGTTGGGTACTGGGACGCTCTGGCGACCAGGAGACGATGATGGGTGCACGCAGCTCATCGCCTCCGCGTGTCTACATTCTAGCCCGCCCGTAAGCCGCCGACATCGAGTTCCAGCAGGCCCCATCGAATTCCTCGCTGCCCCTGGCCTCCTTGCGCAATCCGTCAACAGCTGGCGCGTCCTAAGCTCCCGTCCTACCTCCGTCTTCACACTTACGGCAGTGTTACATCCCCCTTGGTGCCCTCGCCCACAGTCGTGGTTCTCAGAGCGTGCTCGAGGGGGAATCATGCGCATATAAGGACGTTAAACGTGATTCCGGCGATGTGCGGGTATCGTTCAGCGAGTGTGGCGCACAGTCAGAGGAGGATGGTGGGACGGGAGGTCTGCAGGGGGTTAGATGGGACAGGAGGATGGAATACTACGTGCCGACTCTGACGAATGGTTCCCGTTCGCGAGGGATGACAAAGCAAAGGGTGGCGGATGGTTCCCGTCTGCGAGGGATATCAATGGACGAGACAAATCGTGACGAACGGGACACACGGGTCGTGGCTCCACGTCAAGCAGGTATGGGCGTCCACGAGGGGCGCTTAAGGCACGAACGGTTACCGTTCGTGCCACTTATGCTATCGACGGGCGCGAAGGCCACGAACGGTTCCAGTTCGGCAGGCGCATCCGTATAAACCGCAGTACACATCACGTGTGGACGGGGAGCAACCGAGCGGAGGATGGGAGAGATTGAGATTGGTGACATGGCACGAACGGTTACCGTTCGTGGGTATCACCGACTCCCGTCCGCGAGGCCCATCCACTGGTCGCGTGCGCCCTTCGACCCCCTCAAGCCCAGGGATATTCCCTCGGCGGCGTCCTCAAAGGGGGGTCGGTGACCGTTGGTGGGAGGCAGGAGGGCAGGGGACAGGCGGGTCATGGCTCCGCGTCAAGCAGGAATGCACGTCGGCAATGGGTGCGTAAGGCACGAACGGTAACCGTTCGTGCCTCTTATGCTATCAACATGGCGCAAACGGTAGACGTACGCGAGGCTCATCCACGTCTCTGCTCATTGTGTCCGCCGCCCAATCCCGGCGAGCTCTTGCTTAACCCGTTGGTGTCTTCAATATGCTAACTTGGAGGCTAATGAGGGTTCTAACAGGTATATATTAGATGGTAGTAGTATGCAATACAGTTATTACACCGTAATATGAAGTGTTTCAAGGGTTTTTGGGGGAGTTCGCCAATTTCTGGGCCTGCCCCCTATCTATCAAAGCTCAGCCAATGCAAGCATTGGCTGAGCTTTGATAGATAGGACTTGACCAAAGATGAACTCACAGACTGTGCCTATGAACATCTTCAGTTCATTTTCCCAGATATTGATATTTCATTGTTCAAAGTTGCAACCCAGCGAGGCTTATGCATGGTGTGCAGTACTAGGATTACTTTGTTACATGTTTGATTTACATGTGTACTTACATATTAGTGTCACTACATACATGTGTTAGTTAGTATTTATAGTAGTGCTAGTCCTCATACCCCATACCCCATACCCCATACCCCATACCTCATCCCTTGATACCTCATACCCCATACCCCATACCCCATACCCCATACCTTGATACCTCATACCTCATACCCCATACCCCATACCTCATCCCTTGATACCTCATACCCTATACCTCATACCTCATACCTTTAATGAGTGATCACATTGAATATCAATTCTGCATCATTGTCAAGCCATACCTTTGAAATACCCCATACCTTGAACTCCATAAGCATTTCACCCAGTAATATATACAGAGATCAACTGTAGTTTGAGGACACGGTATGACCCAGATTGGACCAGGCGGTGATGTTGGATGTGCCGTCTTCGCGGTAGCGGTGCTCATTGCCGTTGTACTAGCCCCCTTCCGTCTCTCACTCATTAGAGCCGCTAACTTGGCCTCACAATACTCCCTCTCCCACTCATAAAAATTGTCCCATGTATTGCGGAATATCTCCAAACAGACACTACGATGAGGGTTTATTTTCTCGCCGTCACTAGTTGTCTCCAGGTTATAGGTTTTGCTCATAACACTAATAGTGTCAAAGTTCGCACCCGAGGTATGCTTGTTGGTAGATATGATGTGTATTGAAGGTACGAACGAGATCGCTTCACTTACAGCATTGGATATTTCAAGCTCTGCAGAAGAAGACTCGGAAGACTCTTCCTCCTCTTCGCGTAGATGCTGATATGAATCGTGTATGATGGTGTTGTGGAGGATTGAGGCCATTATCAAGGCCAAAGGGGGAATACCAAGTATTAGATAGTACACTCAAAAAACCCTTTCAATGCATCCCTTGATTGGAAATTCTGTAGAATATTCTAGACTTATCCTGTCTCCTTATGGTCAGAGCAATCGGTGGAGGCCTAGCAATTCTTTGAGTGCGAGATGAAATAGAGGTTGCTGCAGGGGTCGGCGGCGCCATTGGAAAAGGGGCAGGAGCACAAACAGGAGCAGGGATCCGCCTCTGGTATTTTTGATTGGGCAGCGGCAGCATCGACTGTTGCTTTAACTCTAACCCTGTAGTAGAAAGGACGGTCATCCCCGCCATGGTCTTCTCCTTCAGAGGACGAGATGACGATAACATCCACATGCATATCTACTATGTATAGTAAATGGAGGGACATCACAGAGAATTGAGTGTGCTATTGGTGAGCTTGTACTGGCTGGTCAAGTGATATGAGGTGCATATGTACCATCTTCAGTTGTCTTTGCCCCTCCCTTTGAGCTCATGTGGCCAAACCTATACGTAGCTGCTGCTGCGTCACTCTCGCCGACCTTGTGCTCCTTGCACAGGCAACGGAGACCTTTGTTGTTGAATTTGGGTCTCAGGAGCAGAACTCGGCAGGGCGGAGGTATCATCAAGGTCCCTGTTGTAGTACTCAAGCACTCCTTCCGAATCAGATGAGTCAGACAATTCTTTTTCTTTGTAAGTTGTTGGTATCAGGTATCATTGAACAAAGAAATTTGATTCATTGATAATAAGTGTAAGTAGCGCATTCAGGATGTAATGGGACATACTGCATACCTGCAAGTAGCACTTCCCATTCCGGCCCAGGTTCTGTCTTGATTCTACCGCATTGGTATATATGAGAGATGGGAAAAGGACATAAGCATACCTCTTTGCCATCAACAACAGTTTCTTATCAATGCTCGTGCATCGACGGCTTTCGCTCAAGCCCAAAGCGTGGAAAGACATTGAGGAACCTCTACAAGGCTGCTCAACGGGGTCAACAATGTCTTCTCTGGCATAAAACTGGGATCAAAGCACTGTTCAATTAGATAATGTATGTCCTCGATTTCAGTGCCTCTTGCAGGATAAGGGTTATCCCAATAGTAAATCAAACATTTCCAGTGCTTCAGCCAGAGGTTACTGGCACAAACCACAGCAAGACGACACTGACAAGCAATGACCAGAAACAGACCTGGTCACCAGCGCTTGAGCATGGTCTGGGCAGCCCAGATTGAAACTCTGTTCCATTCCATTGTTGGGACTCATTACTAAGTAAAGTATTGTAGCCACAGTGTGGCCATGAGTTGCTAATATAATATTTCAAGGTATATAAAATTTGTATATCTGGCGCTTTACCACATTTATACATGAAGCTCATATGAAGCACATGACTTCACATCTTCCGTACATTTATTTCATATAAAGGTCATATAAAGCCCACTTCTTTTGCGAAACTTTACATTCCTTCATATGGCTTTACATTTCTTCTACATTTCTTCTACATTTTCTTTACTTCTTCATGACTTTGAGGCAATAACAATTGTTGAGGAGCTTCACGTAAAGCTTATATGAACTGCATGTGAAGTTTATATGCGACATTCATATGTGCTTCATGTGAAGTCCATGTGAAGCACATATGAAGAGTTTATATTCATATGGATTACAACTAAGTTATGAGTTTGTCTCATACACAAGTGCATACAAGCTTCATGTGTGGTTTATATGAGCTTCATGTGTACTTTATATGAGCTTTACATGTGATTTATATATGCACTACATGCACTTTGTATAGAGTAAATGTATACTTTATATGAGCATCATGTGTGGTTTATACAGCATATATATATGCTTTATGTGCAGTTTATAACATACATGTACACTTCATGTGAACTTTATATGTGGTTTATGTGCGCTTCATGCGCACTTCATATGCAACTTATACATAGTAGAGGTAAATACTTTGACACATTTAGCCCTCCTCCTCCTCACTCTCCTCCTCCTCTTCACTCTCCTCTTCACTCTCTGAGTCTTCTTCATCCTCACTCTCCTCATCACTGTCTGTCATTTCTATTCCTGCTTCTTGATTCCTCTTCTTTTCCTCCTGCTTGGCAATGACCCGTTGAGTGTGTATGAATAACAGCACATTGTAGTAGTGAATGTACGTGTAGACTAGTAGTGTAGTCTAGTAAAATGCGAGGGTCCGCCTCCGGCAGGACAAGTCCGTGCGACACCCGCGTGAGTAAAGTGTGATAAGGATGAGTCCGAGAGTGAAAACAAACAACTGAGAAACTCCGGACGCTTCGGACGGCTTCGGATGCCTTCGGATACCTTTGGACGCGCTCGGACGCGAACAGACAACTCGGCTTCGGATAGTACGACGAGGACGGCAGGAGAATGACAAGGACGGCAGGAGAAAGCAACTTCGGATCGGACTCGGGCTCGGACTCGGACAGCGGCAGACTCTGACAACGGATGAGAAGAAGAGTTCGGACGGCTTAGAATCTGACTCGATGTGGGGGGGGG